ACTTCCTAATAACAAGTTGCCAAAGTTAAATTTAAAGGCGTTTGTCCAAGTTCGTAATGAAACTTCAAGGGTTGGCAGACTTTGCGAAGCCATCCTTGGACTCAAATATTGTTGTTCCATTGCCAAGCATAAGCTGACTATGCAAAACTTTTGTTTGGCAGGCGTAGAGCGTCCTATTCAAAATTGTAACCGGAAACACTGTTCGCAGCCATGGATTCGGCTAGGCCAGACCTAATTTCGGCCAGATTGTGAAGCATTCTGCGTAATTTAGGCATTTGATTGATTGCTGCGAGAGTTGTCTGCCCGGCCACCCCGGCGAATGCGCAATATGAGCACATTACATATATGAAATGCGCGTGACCACTGTGCCATGTTCACCCGCCTTTTTCAAAGAAGCCAAGTCCAATTAATTTGCATCTCTTTGACAGACGACAAAAGGCTTTCAGGTGCAACTGGGCGTGGTCACACATTCACCGGCTAATGAGCGGGCGTGGCAAGGTCAAATGTGCAAGCACTTAGTCTAATGATAAGCAAAGAATGCCACCGAGCCGAGAGCCGTACCGAAAATTCCAAGAATAGCTAGCCATTGGAAGAAAAGGAAACCATTGCTACGCTGGGCGGGAAAAACGGGGGCTCTGGTTAGGAAAAACTACACAAATCGTTCAACACTTGGCGGCACTTAAATGGGAAAAACCACATGATAAAATTAGACGATTAGCAGTGGCCGCAAGTTCAGACACATAGACACTCGTACTGAGGCATTAAGTATTTAGTAGTCAGGGGCGTACTAAGAAGGGATCCATTTTCTATCATAGCGATTTATTTTCAAAGAACTATCAAAAAACAACAATTTAATAAGAATTATTATTATTATTATGAACAAAAATGTTAAACGTTTTATCTTCAATGGAAATTATTCATTACTACTATTTTAAAAGTATTTTTTTAATATTTGTTCTTTATTTTTTAATGACATGACACTTACGGTTATATTTATTAATGGTTTTATTGTAGTTAAAAAGTTTAAAATTAGTTTGTTGAAGATTTATGTTGGTTTAAAAGAGCACAGTCACAATTGCTTCTCAACCGGCTTACTCTTTTTAAGTTTTAGCATTTCAACTAATACATTATGACCTTTAAGCATTTTAAATAGATTTCATAAATTAATAGGCTCTCCTGCTTTAAAATCATCAGTTTTTTTCAATTTTAGTATATTTTAACTATTATGGTGCTGAACTAATTAACTGATTAACTTTTTCAGTAATCGTTAAATCGCGCATGATCTGATTGTTGGCTGGGCAAGAACTCAGGGCCCCTCTGGGTGACGCCTATGATAAAAAACACACTGAGCAGACCCGAGTCCATCCACAGACCCCGACTAGACTGAGTAAACAAACGGGCAACGCAGCTGGCAGCTCCATGCCGCCGACAACCGACACTCGATTTTGGTGCCCCCAACTCACTTCAGCCCCGTGACCTTTTAGTGGTCTACAAAATAAAACGCAAAAAATATAAAAACCTTATAGCGAAAGAAACACACACCGTTTTCGGCGCAGTTCTGGTAAATATTTCCGCTGTGAAAAATCGTTTAAAATTAGTTGAACGAAACATAACGAACAGCGATAAAGCAATAATTACTTGACACAAAGCCTTAGAGTCCAATATAAACAAAGACTGGATGTGGTGAATGCCATGGGAGTCTTTATATCACAGACTGTGGGAAACTATAATAGTATAAAATATATGATAAAAATTTAAAATAGGACATGCCATATACTAAAATAAAAAACATTATTAGCTATTTAAATCCCAACGAATTTGTTCTGCTTAATACAAAAATTGAACCACAATAAAAGAGTTCTTGAAAATTGTTTAAGCAATTTTATGACAAATGAAAAATGGTTTCTGTAGCACAGTTTGCTGACACTGCCGACATTTTCTTCTTTGGCATTTATTTTTTTTTTTTTTTCTGTGGTGTAGAGCAAAGACATGGAAAAATTCTCGTTTTATGCTGCATTTTATTGCTTTGATATTCTCAACATTTCGGGGATTTAATAGCACCGAGATTTTTGCGAATATGCAACTGAGCAGAGAAACCACATTACTGCGTGCTTATCCAGCGATAAAAGCGTTGTGTTTTATTGGCTTTTAAAATTGAATTTCTGTGCAAATTTCCGAGTGAACATTTAGTTGTTTACTCAGTTTCTTTGGTGTTTACCTTCGGGTTGAAAAATTAGTTCGCAAAGGATAATAAAAACTAAACGTTTGATGCTAAGCAGTTAGGATGGATCGAAGGAAAGTCTAATAAATTACAGAACAAACAATACGACAAGTTCAAGACCGTGTGACCTTGCCTATCACAAATTGAACACCCAGCCCAGATGAGTCCGCCTTCGGCTGCTTGATAAATTTGAAAACTGTCAGTTTCGCCTGATAAAACCAGAATACTTCTGCCAACTCACTTCTGCCCTCGGAAATCTTTTTTGAGAAGTTTATCACATGCCACGCGCCAGTTGCCCTCGAGCCTAAGTGAGGGAAAAAATAAGATTAAATTACATTTTGCACACAGTTGTTGTGATTTTCATTAATTTAGTGGCACATAAACACGCACTCAGTCGAAGCCAAAAAATCATATAGAAAAGAAACTTTTTCAAAAAATTTCAAATCAAATAACTTTGCAACTTTTCCTTCCGGTGGAGTGGGGCCGACCGCAAACAAAAAAACACAAAAAGTTTGCCAAAAAAGTTACAGCTGCCTCTTAATTATACCCGCCAGTCAAAGCGGGTATATTCTATATTTTTAGATGTATGTAAAATTGTCACGAAGTACGCTAAATAATTTTAGGGCACGAAATTAGTTCACATGCAGCTGAATGAATGCTTTTGGAATTATATTAAATCAAAATTTTATTTGTATTTTTAGTGTTTAAATTAAAGAGAATTAGAATGTCCAAAGAAGTGGCACAACAATCCCATGAATACCGCTTTTCAAGCTGTTCAACGCGTATCCGAAGAATTGTGTGACTTCCTTATTTTTGTAACATTTTTTTGTGGGCGCTGTTCTTTCGTCATTGTCATGGTTGTTCATTTTGGCATTACGTACGTTTGCTGGAACAAAAAACAGGCATTTTTCGTTTCTAGCCTTGACTGACTTTATCGGCTGAAAAAGTATGGGCAAAAGCTTAAAAAAAAATCATGAAAATTCTTTGAGTGTGGAAATAAGAAAGGCACAAAAACCAAGTCGCTGGAAACTTGACCCAGTATTTTTTAAGTCACAAAAGACAATGTAAGCTAAGCCAATGTTTTTTGAGTATCATTCCTGAATAAACATTTGCATACAGAAGTCATCGATGTCGGCCATGAAACATTAAACGAGTTAAAAGCAAACTTGCCTTTTGTTCCTTTTCCTATTTGCCAGCAGTTGCAACTTGGAGATTTTATTGTCAAATTATGGCAACTAAGTCCCTGCAGTTGCAAGAAAGATTAAAAAGCCATTTTTGCTCGACTTTTTAACTGCATTTTTATTGCCCATTTAGTACGCTTTCCTTTAGCAAGTAAAATGATCAATTTTTGTCCAAGTTTGATGTTTTACTTAAAGGTCTAGGTTTTCCTTATACCCTCGCCAAAGTATATTTATTATTTGTCTAGCCATATTCGGCTGGCCGTCTAAAGAAACTATGGAAAGCTTTCTAGATGGAACTTACCCAAAAATCTTTTTTCAGTTGCAGGTATTTTATAAGAAGGTACGAACAGATTTTTTATTTATATTTTACCAAAGTTAAGTAAAGTAGAGTCGATATCGGTTCTACGCAGCTTTATGATTCGGTCGAACGACTTCATTTTGAAAAAGTGTAAAACAGTTTAACTTTTGGAGCTATATTTATAGTCGCAAGATCCGGCCCGCTACGACTTGTATTTTACCTGCAATAGAAAATGACAGACGGACGCACATTTTACATCCGGCGAATCCAATTCCATTTTCCAGACACTTGAGAACGACGCAAGGCGGTCATTGTTTTTAGAAACAGTTTTGGTTTTATAAATATGTAATGTTAATAACGGTGTTCCATAAATTGGTAATTGTTGACCTCTAATTACACATAATTGGTGCTGAGCAATTAACACCTATCCTTTATACCTTGCCTGTAAAAATTTTCTTCACTCAGAAAAAAAATCAAACAAACCAACATATATAAAATTTTATATTTGTTTTTGTTTAAATTGCATTATTGTTATCTACGTTTAATATTGATTAAATTTGTTTTCCTTTCAGCTATAATATTTTTATACCTGTTGTATCTTTTCTTAAAAACTAGTAATATCATAAATCTATATATTACATTAAAACCAAATTTTAAAACATATAATTTTTACCAGTGTACCCGTTTATAAATACTTTTTCAATTTTATAATAATCAAAAAAAACTTTTGAAAAATAAGTATTAAATTGTGTTATACTTAAAATCAAAAGACTTTGGAAAAACAAGTATTATATTAAGTTACAATACGATTAATCACACCAAGTAATTTTTGTGGCAGTGTCGGCGGTATCTCCAGATATCTTCATCTCGCTCGCTCTCATTTATCCAAGTCAAAGCCGAGGCGTTTTAGTTTAGTTAGCTTATGTTAGTTCTGATTTACAGATGGAAAGATGAACACCCGCTATTCGGGAAATACCACAAAGTTTTCGAGTTTTTTTTGCATTCGCTCGTGGGAATTTCTGGCCACATCTGTATTTATGGCACACACCTTTTAACAACGCATAAAAATCGATAAATAGTGGTGGCAATAAAAAATTGGCTTTGTCAACACGCACTTAAGAAAAAAGAACTTTGTTATAATCGTAAAGATCGCAAGAATAATCTAACAAAGTAAGGAGTTTTTTTACCCTACCATACACAAATATTGTAAAGGCTTAAAGCAATTAAAGTTAAATAAGCTGATTTAAAAGGCGCATACTATAAAAGAAGCGGCAGCAACGCTTGGTAAACTATTTCAAAAATGGTAGTCAAAAGTAAAATTCTCTATAAAACGTATTGGATATATATGCGACTTTCGGGCGTCGAGGGCGAATACCCATTTCGATGGCTTCTGGATCTAACAATGTCTTTTTTCGTCACCTTGTGGTACCCCGTGCATCTTATACTTGGACTGTATAATCAGCCGGTTGCAAATGTATTTAGGAGTCTGTATTTTACAACAGAATGCGTTTTCTGCTCCTTTAAATTTTTTTGCTTTCGTTGGAAAATGGCTGAGATTAAAGCCATCGAAAGATTGCTCCAAGAGTTGGATAAGCGGGCTGAGAGTGATGAGGAACGTATACACTTCAATCAAGGCCCAAGACGTGAAGCACAAATGATTTCGAAAAGTTTTATGGTGGTTGGCATATCAGCCATAATTACTGCAACTGCCGCTGGTTTATTCAGTAGTGGTCGAAAGCTAATGTATTTGGGTTGGTTTCCCTACGATGTTCAAGCCTCCGCCTTGAGCTTTTGGATTAGTTTTACTTATCAAGCCGTTGGGTCCAGTTTATTAATCGTGCATAACCTCGCCAACGATATATATCCCCCAATCACATTTTGTGTGGTCACAGGACATGTGCGACTCTTGGCAATGCGTTTGAGTCGAATTGGGCATGACGAGAATATATCAAAAGCGGATAATGCCAGGCAACTCATCGAAGGCATCCAGGATCACAGGAAACTTATGCAGTAGGTAGCCCTTTTTAAAATAGGGATCTGACGACTCGAATAAAAAATAGTGGAGAGAAAAAATTAAAAAAAAAAATTTGTATAACTTCACTGTGTTTCACTTTTTTTTTTAATTCTTTATTGGCAAGTAATCTTTAAATATTTGCTTCCTTTCTTATTAGTTAAGGTAAAAAAAATAAAACAAGTAAAGTTTCTGATTTCAAATTGTGGGACGAAACATGATAAAATGATAAAACACTTTAAAGACTCAACTGTAAACGCCAGTGTAGTCAAATAGTTTAAATATTATTACTTTTTATTCTAGAATAATTCGACTGCTCCGCAGCACTTTATATCTCACACAACTTGGTCAGTTCCTTTCAACCGGAATCAACATTTCAATAACGCTCGTCAACATCCTATTTTTGGCGGAAAACAACTTTGCTATGACCTACTATTCTGTGTTCTTTGCGGCCATGTTTTTAGAGCTACTTCCAAGTTGTTACTACGGAACTCTGATGTCGATGGAGTTCGATAAATTACCATACGCCATTTTCACGAGCAATTGGGTTGGAATGGATAGTGGATACATCCGATCTTTGATAATACTAATGGAGCTAGCGGTTGTCCCTGTGAACATTAAAGCTGGAGGAATTGTTGGCATCGACATGAACGCTTTTTTTTCCACAGTCAAAATGTCCTACTCGTTTTTCACCTTGGCCATGTCATTTAGATTCTAAGTAATTCATTCCATTGCAAGCTTCAAACAATTATTATAAATATTTTACTTAAAGGCGTAACTAATATATATGTGAAACATATATTTTATTTTACACTATACAAAAGTTTACTATTGCTACCGAAACGCGTTCTATTAGGCAAAGTATTTTTATATTTCTTAATACTACACTTATGCACCAATTTTCAATCAATAAAATGTTGTCACTTAACCTTTAAATATTTATTTACGTTTACTCTTAAAGTGTGAAATAAATTAATAAATAACTCCCAAAACAGTTACTTAATGAGAGGTGTAAATTGGGTAAATAAAAATATAGGGCTATCACGGTGCCCGCAAATTGGTGGTTCCGCCCACTCGATTGACTGTAATTTAGTCAAGATACGAGTATAAAAGAGGAAATGCCTGAGGACTTGGCCAATTGTGTCGAACAAATTATAGCAAAAAAATATTTGCAAGAGTTTGGATTCAGATTAATAAAAAATGGGAAATCATATCTCGCAAGATCCGGCCCGTTCCGGCTTGTATTTTACCTGCAATAGAAAATGACAGACGGAAATACACCCGGCGAATCCAATTCCATTTTTCAGACAGTTGAGAACGACGCAAGAGGGTCATTGTTTCCAGAGACAGTTTTGGTTTAATAAATATGTAATGTTAAAACGGCGTTCCATAAATTGGTAATTGTTGACCTCTTTTTACACATAATTGGTGCTGAGCAATTAACACCTATCCCTTTGTACCTTGACTGTTCAAATTTTCTTCACTCAGAAAAAAACCAAAACTTTGGTAGGTCGAAGATTTGATACGCTTACAAATTACAAAAATGTGTTATTATAAAAGCTGCAAGGGTACCTTAAGTTCGACTTGCCGAAGCTTGCTTCCGTTCTTCTTTTATACACTGATAACAAATTGTAATAGTAATGTGATAATACATATCTGGATAGTAAATACAAAAGTATATATATATTTTTTTTAAATACATTATTATTATAATCGTTTAATATAGATTACATTTTATTTCTTTTTAGCTGTGATTTTTATTTATTTGTTGAATATTTTCCCTTAGCGGACTTACAACAAGTTAATTCTCAAATCTATATATTACATTAAAATCGTTTTCGGATAATAAAATCTGTTTTTAAGAAAGTCAAACTAAATTTTAAAACATAAAATTGTTACCAATGTACATGTTTGAAAATACGTTTTCAGTTTTATAAAAATCTAAGGAATTTTGAAGAATAACTGTTAAATTGGGTTATACATAAATTCAAAGGACTTTTGAAAAACAAATATTTTATTGTGTTAATATGGATTGACACACCAAGTAATTTTTATGGAAGTGTCGAGATATCTCCATCTTGCTCGCTCTCATTTATCCAAGTCAAAGCCCACTCCGAAGCGTTTTGGTTTAGTTAGCTTATGTTAGTTCTGATTTACAGGTGTAAAGATGAACACCCGCTATTCGCGAAATACCACAAAGTTCCCGAGCTTTTTTTTGCATTCGCTCGTGGAAATTTCTAACCACATCTGCATTTAAGACACACACCTTTTACCAACGCATAAAAATCGATAAATTGTGGTTTTAAAGAACATTACAATTTAAATGGTTATACTTTATTGTAAAAAAAATAAAAATCGGTCATCACTTTATCGGTTTCGATTTCTGGAATAGGCTTTGTCAACAATACCATTTTTGATACAATCGGAATTAAAAAAAAACAGAACTTTGTTAATAATAATAATTGTAATTTGTTAATAATAATAATTGCAAGAAGAATCTAGCAAGGAAAAGAGTTTTTAATCCTAGCACGCACAAATATTGTAATTGTTAAGCTGAACATTTAAAAAACGCATACTATAAAAAAGCGGCAGCAACGCTATTTTAAAAATGGAGTCCACCCGCATGGTAGTCAAAAGTGAAAATCTATATAAAACATATTGGCTCTATATGCGACTTTTGGGCGTCGAGGGCGTATATCCCTTTCGATGGATTCTGGATCTAACAATGTTTTTTTTCGTCACCTTGTGGTACCCAGTGCATCTTGTACTTGGAATATATAATCAGCCGGTAGCAAATGTATTAAAGAGTCTGCATTTCACAACAGAATGCCTTTTCTGTTCCTTTAAATTTTTTTGCTTTCGTTGGAAAATGGCTGAGATTAAAGCCATCGAAAGATTGCTCCAAGAGTTGGATAAGCGGGCTGAGAGTGATGAGGAACGTAAACACTTCAATCAAGGACCAAGACGTGAAGCACAAATGATTTCAAAAAGTTATTTGGTGGCTGGCATATCGGCCATAATTACTGCAACTGCCGCTGGTTTATTCAGTAGTGGTCGAAAGCTAATGTATTTGGGTTGGTTTCCCTACGATGTTCAAGCCTCCGACTTGAGCTTTTGGATTAGTTTTACTTATCAAGCCGTTGGGTCCAGTTTATTAATCGTGCATAACCTCGCCAACGCCATTTATCCCCCAATCACATTTTGTGTAGTCACAGGACATGTGCGACTATTGGCAATGCGTTTGAGTCGAATTGGGCATGACGAGAATATATCAAAAGCGGATAATGCCAGGCAACTCATCGAAGGCATCCAGGATCACAGGAATCTTATGCAGTAAGTAGCTCTCTTTTAAATATCATAAAGCTCGCTTTCAAATAAGTAAGACAAAAGACAAAAAATTTATTCAAAATATATTTAACTTCGATTTTTATAAATTTTTTTTAAAATTCCTTGTTGACAAAAAATGGTCAAATAGTTTAAATATCTTTATTACTTTTTATTGCAGAATAATTCGACTGCTCCGCAGCACTTTATATCTCACACAACTTGGTCAGTTCCTTTCAAGCGGAATCAACATTTCAATAACGCTCGTCAACATCCTATTTTTCGCGGAAAACAACTTTGCTATGACCTACTATTCTGTGTTCTTTGCGGCCATGTTTATAGAGCTATTTCCAAGTTGTTACTACGGAACTCTGATGTCGATGGAGTTCGATAAATTACCATACGCCATTTTCACGAGCAATTGGGTTGGAATGGATAGTGGATACATCCGATCTTTGATAATACTAATGGAGCTAGCGGTTGTCCCTGTGAACATTAAAGCTGGAGGAATTGTTGGCATCGACATGAACGCTTTTTTTTCCACAGTCAAAATGTCCTACTCGTTTTTCACCTTGGCCATGTCATTTAAATTCTAAGTAATTCATTCCAACTATTGCAAGCTTCAAACAATTATCACATTTGTGGTGATGACGATTAAGAACACAATATAATATTGTAAATCCCTGCAAGGCAAAATTATATTACACTATACAAACGTTTACTATTGCTACCTTTAATAAGCAAGGTATTTTTATATTTCATAATACTACACTTATGCACCAATTGTCAATCAATAAAAAGTTGTCACTCAACCGTTAAATATTTATTTACGTTGCCACCATGAAAGTGTTAAGCCTAGCTACAATTTTGAGATATTTTTAAATAAATAAATTACTAAATGAGAGGTGTGAATTGGGTAAATAAAATTATAGGGCTATCACGGTGCCAGTAAATAGGTGGGCGGAACACCGATTGACTGTAATTTAGTCAAGATACGAGTATAAAAGAGGAAATGCCTGAGGACTTGGCCAATTGTGTCGAACATGGAGTTGAAATCGCCAGTCATCAGAAGTGAGCATATCTACAGAGCCTATTGGTTATATTGGCGTCTTTTGGGCTTGGAGAGCCATTTTCCGCTGAACCGTTTGCTGGATGTGTTGATCACAGTCTTTGTGACCTTTTGGTATCCAATTCATCTGATTCTCGGCCTATTTATGGAAAGAACACTTGGCGATGTCTGCAAAGGTCTACCAATTACAGCTGCCTGCTTTTTCGCCAGCTTTAAATTTGTTTGTTTCCGTGTGAAGTTGTCAGAGATTAAAACAATTGAAGTCCTGTTTAAAGAGCTCGATCAGCGGGCTTTGAGTGACAAGGAATGCGAGTTTTTTGATAAAAACACAAGACGCGAGGCGAATTTTATTTGGAAAAGTTTCATTGTGGCCTATGGACTGTCGAATGCTTCGGCCATAGCATCCGTTCTTTTTGGCGGTGGTCACAAGTTGTTATATCCGGCCTGGTTTCCATACGATGTGCAGGCCTCAGAGCTACGCTTTTGGCTAAGTGTAACATACCAAATAGTCGGAGTGAGTCTGGCAATACTCCAGAACCTGGCTAACGACTCCTATCCGCCGATGACATTTTGCGTGGTTGCTGGACATGTGAGACTTTTGGCCATGCGTTTGAGTAGAATAGGCCACGATCAAAAGGAACCAAATTCGTCGGTCGCCAGGAAATTAACCGAAAGCATCGAGGACCACCGAAAACTCATGAAGTAATGTTGTTACTTTTGTTATAATTATCCATTCAGCATTTAATTTTATTATACCCTTGTCTAATTTCACTCAAAAGTCTGTAAATGGTTTAATATAAAATGGATTTGTAAATAACTTTTTGATTAAACACACTTTGTCCTAATCAGTGTTTAAAAACGTTTCCAAATCCGTTAAATCGATCAATTTTTTAAAATAAAATGTCAAAACACTTTCATTGAAGATGGACAAACATTTATTTTTATCAAAAATCCTTTCAATTCCTTTTTTTAAGTGGTAATACTTATTAAAACCATTCGAGAAATGCTGACTTAGCTTCAATCTTTTTAAACATATCCAAATAAAGAATATTTTAAAGAATATATTATTTTGGAAATAGCAGCAAGGGTATGTAAATTTCGGCTTGCCGAAGTTGCTTATTTTATGTTTATAATACTTTTCTTAGTTCTATTAAAATGTCCAAAGAATGGGCGAATTTAAATAATGTTTAAGCTTTATTATTTCCTTTTAAGAATCGTAGAACTGCTGCGCAGCACCATGAACATATCCCAGCTCGGCCAGTTTATATCCAGTGGCGTCAACATTTCCATAACGCTCGTCAATATTTTGTTTTTTGCGGAAAATAACTTTGCGGTGACCTATTACGGCGTATACTTCTTATCCATGGTGCTGGAGCTATTTCCGTGCTGCTACTACGGCACCCTGATATCCATCGAGATGAGCAGGCTGACCCACGCGATATACTCGAGCAACTGGCTGGGAATGGGGCGGGGATACTGCCGCACCCTGCTGATTTTCATGCAACTCACCCTGGCGGAGGTGCAGATAAAGGCCGGTGGCATGATTGGCATCGGCATGAATGCCTTCTTCGCCACCGTGCGAATGGCCTACTCCTTCTTCACACTGGCCATGTCGCTGCGTTAATGAGTGGGCCCCTGGCGTCATTGGCCACCCATTTGCATGCTCGCTTAATTTAAATTACCACTAATGGCGGTCATTAACGCAGGCTTTATGAAAATTGCATTGGCATCGTTTAAATGCCATTTAGCGTTGGATAATGCACTTAAAAAAATGGCAGCGTAAACAAGCTAATGATGAAAGTTCTTAACGCAAAAATTATTTAAAACTGTATAAGACATTGACAATTTTTTCAGAATTTGCACAATTAAATAAATAATAATCCTTAAAATAAATGAATATCTAAAATACATTCTTTATGTTTTGAACCTATATTGTTAATTTTATTGTTACAGAATTTGATTTTTTAAGTAAATAGTTATCAATTTTTCCTTGAGCTTAAGATTTTTTCTAAATTAAATATAAAATGGTCCCTATAATACATTTTTGTTTAATATGTTATTTGTCAGCATTGCCTTCATATTAAAAGTCAAAATGGATGGGTCCAAGGTGTTTTGATTTCCCTCAGTGTAACAGGTACGGAAACTGCATAAAAACTGCATGCTCACCGGCAAACGTCCATTAGAAGAACAATGGTCATCATCGATAGTGTTCGTTTTTATCGTCCGTTCTGGTATTGCATTCGGGTGCTAGTACCGACATTCTTCAACGACTCCCGTCGTCCTGTCCAGCTTTATGTGGCGGTGCTGCATGTACTGGTCACCTTGTGGTTCCCACTGCATCTCCTGTTGCATCTTCTTGGCCATTTGTCACCGGCGGACCTCATGAAGAACCTGTCCATGTCCTTGACCTGTGTGGCCTGCAGCCTGAAGCATGTGGCCCATTTGTATCATTTGCCGGAGATCGTGGAGATCGAATCCTTGATCGGACAGTTGGATACGTTTGTTTCGAGCGAACAGGAACATCGCTATTACAAGGCTCATGTGCACTGTCATGCCAAACGCTTTACGCAATGCCTCTACATAAGTTTTGGCCTGATTTACGTGGTTTTCCTATTTGGTTTTTTCGTCCAGGTTATTAGCGGCAATTGGCAGCTTATATATCCCGCCTATTTTCCCTTCGATATGGAGAAGAGTCCATCTCTGGCTGCTGTGGCCCTGGGCTACCAGGCGTTCTGCATCCTTGTTGAAGGATTGCAGGGCCTGGGGAATGACACTTACACTCCGCTGACCTTGTGTCTTCTTGCAGGACACCTGCATTTGTGGGCCATTCGCATGGGTCAGCTGGGATTCCTGGAGGACGAAACTGCAAGCGACCATCAGCGGTTACACGAATACATTGAACAGCACAAACTGTTGATGAGGTAAATTCTGATTAAAATAAGCCTATAAATAAATCGTCCATGGTGACCTTACTTGTTTGAAAAGATGTGTGCTTGACATTTCAAATATTCTATATGTTATACAGTAAATTATTGTTCTATACAGTTGAGATCAAATATATAATACCAATTAATTCCTGTTCAGCAAATTGACAAACAAAATATTGTAACTAAGAAATATCTTTCGGAATCCCCTTACTTATCAATAAAAAATATAATTTGCTGTTCTACACCATTTAAAGATTTAACAACTTTACAGTGGTCATTATTTTTCAGTGTCCGATTTGTTGTAATAAAGAACAATGCAATCATTTATAAGTGTTGATTTACAATTCACCACGTAAAAGTGCTTAATAACGAAAAATGTCTAGAATTGTAACATTGGCAAAACTATTTTTCATAGTTAAACAAATATAATAGACGTGTTTAAGATGCACAACAAATTTATATTTATAATATATTTTTACTTTATTATTTTCTATTTTTAATGTGTAAAAATCATTCTTTATAGTGACTTTAATTTTGTTGTTTGTAGTCAAGTCATTTATCCAGTCGGTATCCGGCTAAGCCTGGATAAACAATTGTTGGTTAATTTCACTTTATTGTAGATTCCACCACCTGCTGTCGCGGACCATCAGCGAAGTCCAGCTGGTGCAGTTGGGCGGCTGCGGGGCCACCCTGTGCATCATTGTGTCCTACGTGCTGTTCTTTGTGAGCGACACCATATCGCTGGTCTACTACTTGATCTTCTTCGGCGTGGTCTGCGTGCAGCTCTTTCCCAGCTGCTACTTCGCCAGCGAGGTGGCCGAGGAGGTGGAGCGCCTTTCGTACGCGATCTTCTCCAGCCGGTGGTACGATCAGTCGCGGGATCATCGATACGACCTAATCGTCTTCACCCAACTGACGTTGGGGGGCAGGAGGCGGGTTATCAAGGCGGGCGGCATCATCGAGCTTAATCTAAATGCCTTTTTCGCCACTCTGAAAATGGCCTACTCCCTCTTTGCCGTTGTGGTGCAAATGAAGGGTATATAGAGTGGATGGTTAATTAAAAAGCAACCCCGGCAACTGGAAACTGGCAACCGTATTGTTATTGAATTCGCCACCCCGAATTTGGGCGAAAGTGGAGCAATCAACGCGCTGAAAATAAGATTTTATTAATTGGCCCCGTCGCGATACGCAAATAAACAGTTTGCCACACAGATTCAGCTCTTTCAACCGAACAATGGCACATTAAATTGAAATGTATTGTTTACTCAGTACGTATACACAATTTTTATTTTGCTTGCTGTTTGCGCCTTTTGTTATTGTAAGCCTTGCATAAATCTGAATGGAATCTGGTTGCTTTGTGTTGTTGTAATTAACATTTAAAATGTATGCCAAACAACGAAGATAACATATAAAATGATTGTTAATTTGTTTTTATCATAGTCTGCAATTTGTTCTTGTATTTAATTATATCAACATTTAAAATTCACAGCGAAATGACAGAGTTTTCCCATTTCATCAATTTCGTTCTGTTTATTGACTTATGACAGGAGTCTTTTCACATTTTTAGGGCTTTTCTGAGGCACCCTAAACGTGTACGTGATCCAAACATATTTTTCGATGCTTGGACCTTTTTTCTCCAACGATTTTTAATCAAGCTTAAAAGCCTACGCAAATCGATGTTCAATTTATAAGTATCCGGAGCCCACACGCACGTTTTATGTCTGATTTTTAATTAAAACTCTTACCAAGCGAGAATAATTGAATTCTGAAATGTTTCCGTTATAATAATAATATAATAATATAATATATAATAATATATAATTGCTTCAAAAATCCTTAAGCTCCCTTAAAGTTAATATATAAAAAAAGGCATTTCCTGCTCTTAAGTATCAGCGAATATGATTTTTGTTGTGGTTGATTCTTGACAATCGTATAAGGTATATTGGGAAGGAGAGTAAAGGAATCGACATAATGTTGTGAAGATGAGATATGACTGCAATCTCGAAACGAAAAACCTCTTTGCAACCAGAATGTGCTGCCGTGAAAACGAATAATATATTAAATAAGAAGACAAGCTATTTTCAGCAAGCCGAAACTTCTATACACTTTGATCTATATAAAAAAAGTATGATTCAATAAAACGATTATGTCAAGACTATTAATCTCAAACTTAAGCTCTAAAAACATGGTTGTTTGATTTTTTAAAATATTTAATTATATTTTTTGCAATCGTAGGAATAATAATAATAACAATTCTCATAATCATTTTGCGATCTTAACCTTGTTCATCAAGGTCTTGCGGTGCAAACTTTTGACCGAAACCGTAAAACCTTCTGCAGAGGTATAAAAATATTTCTCTCGACTGGCAGCTTTATGTCCGAAATGCAAATGAGGATAAGCCTTTGGCGTTGCATACCGGAAAAGTGCAACGGACAACGAGCTGCATAAGTAACAAGGAAAGAGGCGCCGGACAAAAGTAGACCCACACTTGGCCAAGGTTTCAAGGTGTGGCGTGAGTGGAGGGTGCGACCAAGGACACGCAAGGATTCGCACCGCGCTTGTGGCAATTTATTGATGCCAATGAGTGCGTACAAATTGCCTGGAGCGATGCCGGAAACACTGGAGTGATAGTAAATATAAATTTAAATTTTAAATTTTAAAATAAATAAAAATTATATTAATTAAATTTTTTTTTATTTTAAAAACCATTTTTTAAATGTGTATACATAATATGTCCATTCAAACTTTTCAATTGCATTGCTCATCACGTCAGACATAATTTTTATTAGTGTAAGGAGTGCGACAAGGGGTTGTGTCAGTTCAAGGCGCCGCCTCCAGATGGCGCTTTTCCTATCTGTCGAACGCGTCGCTCCCAAGCAGCCATTAAAATGTCCCCCCAGCAACACTTTGCGTCATTATTGAAAGCAATTTCCCACGGCAAATAGAAAATCGAAAAACAAAACCAAATCGAAAAAGAATGCGAAAAATAAAATAATAGCACGCAGAAAGCAGTAGAAAATGCGACAAATGCCGGGGCTCAGGCCACAGCTTAGAGGCCGATGCGCGAATATTGCGCATACGCCACCCCAGGGAGCAGCCCTCAAAATGCCACCCACACCAACGCAACCACCCACCATACACACTAGACCCACCTAGAGTTGAGAGCCACAGCAGGCCCAATTGCTAGAGGTGATTTAACTTTTTCTGCCTGCCATTCATTTCCTTTTCAATAGCACAAAAGCACACAGACACCGAGCCGAGAGATGGCAGAAATATTGTTGGCATACTTTTTCAAGTGTTTCCTGCCTTCCTGCATGTTGTCCTGGCTCCTGGTCCTCCTGCCTTTCGCCTGTTTATTTTAACTTTTGGCATTTTGTACGCGAACCGGGGGAATTTTGCCCGACTGAAATAGGAAAGTAAAACAAAAAGCGGTTAAACAAAAATATGAAAAATAAATTGAAACACTCAACCAGGCCCGACTGCCTGTCTGTCTGTCTGTCTGAAAAGTCCCAGAAGAGGCTTCCACTCAATCAGAGCTTCGGCATTGGTGACATCGGAGTGAAGCCATGCCCCTCCTGTAAATAAAAGCAGATTTGCGATCTGGTCACCATCCTGCCGCAGATTGAGTTGCTGCTTCCTCTAGCCGAAAAACACAATTTGATTGCCAAGCCCTGCGGTATTCAGAACGTAGATGCCATCCTAAACCAATCACAATTTTCGTTGCATTTCTCTACTGTTTTTGTTTTAGAATATTCCACAAAACTCAACAAAATATGCTACAGGTCAGCTATAACTTATGCAATGCTAAGTTTTTAATGGCTAGAAATGGATTGGGACCAGTTTTACAGAAATAAATTTAGAAAAAAAAAACAAAAAAAAAAATGGTTTTTTTTTGCATTTCAATGACAGCAATTAATATTTATTTCAAATCTGACAGTTTCTGCTAGCTTTCAATTAGCATAATGTGTGGTAAAGTGCTTAATCAATTGTAGTGCACTTTTAAAAAAACTTTCAGGCAACAATTTTTAAGTCTAGTAATTTTATTCAATAAAATTTAAAATCATTCAAAGCTTAAACCATTATTTTTAACAATAATTTGTATATTAAAACATAACCATATATTTGAGCTAAACAAAATTGTTCTTCAAATGGTCAACAAATTTGTAAGATTTAATAAATTAAATTATTATTTTTATTAGCAAAGTTTAATAATATAGACTCCGGGAACGAATCATTATTCGAAGTGTCGTTATATGTATGAATAATCTGTCGATTAAAAACAGAGTGTAAATTATTATAATAATTTTAAAATTGTAATCAATTTCTTAAAAATGCACTATCAAATAAACTTAAATCGTTTTCAATTTAATTTATCAATCCAAACAAATAAAAGCTCAATCGACGAAAACAAGCAAATTAATTAAAATCGCAATGGCAATTCCAATTAAGTTATTTAATGAACGCTAATACTGTAAATGTGTCGACTCTAATTGCCTTTTGGCAGTTGCAAATTGTGAGAAATTGCTGAGCGCACTTTTATGTTTCGAGTGAAAAAGTGAAAAATGATTAATTACCCGCTGGCAAATTGGCCCAGACTTTCGCTTAGGGATAGGGATTTTCCGTGTTCAGCTGCATGGCGATTTGTGTCGGAATTGGCAGAACTATTTTCCCATTCCATGCGGCCAACTCAATTACAACGTGGCCAACTGTCGGCTGCTGGGCATTCAATTTTCTCCGTCCAGCGAGAAAAACAAGCGGAAAACGCGCATCAAAGCCAAACAAAGCTGGCAAGGTGGCGAAGGGGGATTTGTGGGGGGTTGGGGGTAGCTGGAAAAGGGAATGTTGAAAAAGTGTCCAACATGTTAGCGTGTTGGGCGGACAACCGAACTAGAGGCGCCTAAAACTATGCTCCACGGCATGAATAACAGAGCGGATCAGGCCTTCAGCTTTTTGTTTCGCTGTTTTTGCACTGGAAAAATAATTAAATTTTCCAGTTCCAGCGGTGTTTTAAAACCAAATTTAAACATCTTATATATTTTGATTTCCAGCCTTGGACCTAATTTAAATCTAACAAAAACACTTTTTAACGAGTGACGATCCCACCTTAAATAACCACAATTTCTGATATCAAATTTTCGAATAAATAATAATTTATATGTTTATACCCTTGCAGAGGGTATTATAATTTCAGTCAGAAGTTTGCAACGCAGTGAAGGAGACATCTCCGACCCTATAAAGTATATATATTCTTGATCAGCATCACTAGGCGAGTCGATCTAGCCATGTCCGTCTGTCCGTCTGTCCGTCTGTCCGTCCGTTTATATGCAAACTAGTCTCTCAGTTTTAAAGCTATCTGCATGAAACTTTCCCAAAAGTTGTCTTTCTATTGCAGGTAGTATATAAGTCGGAACGAGCCGGACGAATATAGCATATAGCTCCCATAGGAAAAATCGGAAAAATTAATGAAAAAAAATTATAGCTTTGCTGTTTTTTAATTTTTTGTTTAGTTCTTCGACATTTAGTAATGGTTAAATATTTCCGATTTACGGTTTAAATTTCATCAAAATCGGACGACTATAGCATATAGCTCCCATAGGAACAATCGGAAAAATAAATGAAAAAAATTATAACTTTGCTGTTTTTTAATTTTTTGTTTAGTTCTTCGACATTTAGTAATGGTTACATATTTCCGATTTACGGTTTAAATTTCATCAAAGTCGGACGACTATATCATATAGCTCCCATAGGAACAATCGGAAAAATAAATGAAAAAAAATTATAACTTTTCTGTTTTTTAATTTTTTGTTTAGTTCTTCGACATACAGCAATGGTTAAATATTTCAGAATTATGGTTTAAATTTTATCAAAATCGGACGTCTATATCATATAGCTCCCTTAGAAATAATAAAAATATATAAAATAACTATCAAATAATTGGGCTGCAAATCATCATAGCTTCAATGTTTTTAAACATATACGAAAGTAAATCATAATTTTAATGTTTTCAAAAATGTTTAATTCTTGCAATAGCTGCAAGGGTATATGAACTTCGGCTTGCCGAAGTTTGCTTTCTTTCTTGTTTTATTTAATGTGGACTGTCTTCTACATTGATTAACCAACACAAAAATAAATGTATTATCAGAATAATGGTTAATTGAAATAAACAAAAATAAATAAAATAATAAAAATAAAAATCGATAAGAAAGTACTATCATAGCAATGAATATAACCTTAACAGTTACATCATTAAATGAAATCAAATTATTATGAGAAGTTATAACCAATTAAAAAGTCATGTTACCAAATATTTTTTTTAACAATTACATTTTTGTTTAAAGTTCTGTTTTGTTTTATGTGTACCGCCACTTCTGCTCTTACTCTTGTATTTTACTCATGCATGACAATTTTTTTCCAGCCAGTTGCCTTTTTTGCTTTGGGTTTTCCTTTGGTTCGCCTCCTGTTATTGTTGTTGCTCCCTTTGTTTGTCTCACGAAGGAGAATTCTTTTTGTTTTCATACGCACTGACACAGATGTTCTGCCTGATGCTGGCGCTACTTTTGTTTTTACAGCTGATGAAGCTAGCACGCTTGCCAGCTCCAATGTCGCATCCTAAGCCGAGTTAACTTGCCCCATAAATAAGTATGACTCATATATGTATGAGTAACACATAAGGAAGCACTTTAAGGTTGGGCGCATTTATATTTGAATATTATTAGCTAAACTTATTAATTTGATCCAAAACAGAATAGTTTTCTACCTATTGTACTTTATTAATGGCTTTAGACAGTTAAATGTTTCTTTTGAATTTCTTTTCTTTCTTTCTTGCAATATGGTTTTTCAAATCTGGTTGAAATGTTAATAAATAAGAAGGAACCCAATTTCTAAATAAATTTATGTTATTGCTAAAAACACACTGATCTCCATAATTTCACTTGTTAAAACATAAATCACCTGCATTGAGTAAAGCCACAGAAGCCGAAGAGCCCTAAAAACCCACATCCGCTGACCACTTCTGCACTTGCTATAGTACACTATCTCCACAAAAGTAAACAAATGAGCCTCGGCTCTCGTTACTGCGCTTGATAAAAAAACCTGTCGGATAACGAATCGAGATAATCGATGAAGTGTGCCTGGTTTGGTTACAGTGGAAGTCCATTAAGGTGACCGTTCCAGCCTGTCGCCCCTTTTACTTGGGGCCAGCTATCAAATTTCCTCTTTTTTGTTGGCTTTTGCCTAGTTTTGAGCATTTTGCAATCGGAGCTCGGACGGATGAGGGATTACAAAATTTCCAATTCATGAGACCAAAGCGCAACAAACACTCACTGTCTCCGGTGCAGGCCTATTTCCAATTTCCGTAGGCCATGTTGGCTGACCATTTTCATAAGCACCAACCGATTTCCCTGCCTTTCCCCCCATGGTTTTGGTTTTGGGTTTGGTTTTTGTTTTGGCTTTGGGCTAGTGGGTGACAATTTGGTCGGTGGCACTGAGGCAACGGCTGAAAAGTGAATGCTGCACTGCAGCTCCAATTTATCTGTAGCTGTGCCTCCTCGGCAAGGTCATTTGTAACCTTAACTAAACAAATTTGAAAGCTGGGGCTCCGGCATATCATGTGTGGGCAGGTTCTGGCGATGGCGATGGCCCTTTTTTCCAGCCGTTATAAAACGACCAGTGGGCGATGGAGGTGGCATCAGTGTGCCATCGGCAGCAAACAGAAGCAGCCAAACAAATAACCAGCGGCCAACTAGTCGAATACTTAACGTCAGCAGCCATGAAACGGGTAAGTTTTCCGTCAAACGCTGCCGGCCATAAATTTTGCCAGCCCCCCTTGTTGTTCTGCCGCCATGTAATCCGGCAAAGTGGAAGTTGGGCCCATAAATCAGGATAATCAAAAATACAAAACGGTTTAGGCCACAGCGTATTAGGCCAATTTAAAAGGCCAGAGAAATGACATAAACCAAATGGAAATCAGTAGAGTTTAGTTGGCATAAAGAAGCCTAAGCACCCTTGGAAATTGGGGAAAAAGCAATGAGGCCATTAAATGCTTTAGAGCATTTTAAAGGAAAATTACATATAAAAATGTAAAATATTAGTTAGAGGTTTACAAAGGTTATAAAATATTACGACAAATATGTAACATTTAATACAGATTTTCAATTCTGTTTCTAGAAGTTATTAAACTTGTTTTAAAACGTACAACTTAAATTAATTTTGATTAAATGCATTACATAAGAAATACAAAAAAACTTATCAGCAATAAAGAATTCGTAAGAAAAGGTTTTACAAAGGAAACTAATCGGAATTAATTGGAAACTAATTAAATTGACTTTATTGCTCTCTTTGAGGAAAATATAAAGCGGTTTTTAATCGAAATAATTATAATTGCAAACTGAATTTAAAATAGGAGTTAACATTAGCCAGTTATCAGTGTATTTTGTAGTATTGTTTCAGACAGTTAAGCTTTTCATCTTTGTAAAGTTGACAGCCAATGGAGTCCGGCAAACCAACAGATCCCCACAATTTTTTGTTCAGAAACATGAGTCGCTTGTTGTCGTTTTTAATTTATGGCCCTCTGTGCAACTAACAAATAAAAGGGAAAACGCATTGTGGAATGACAAATTGATGAGGCCAACGGTTGATTTATAACGGACAGCCATTTAATTCGCATCCTGTGTGAATCCCTTTGATTCCAGACGTACTTGTTGCTCTGCCTGAGCCTGCTGACCTGCAATGTGGCCAACTCGGCCTTCCTGCGCCCCCTCGATTTGAGCCAACTGACCAAATCCTCCAGCATTCAACAGCATCAACAGCAGCAGCAGCATCAACAGCAGCAGCAACTGCTCAACCGAGATGATGGCGGTGAGGATGACGATGATGCCACCACTCTGTCACCCAACTCCAGTGAGGATTACGACACCCGTCCCCAGTACAGTTTCGCCTACGATGTGCGGGACTCGCTCACCGGCGACGACAAGCGGCAGGAGGAAAAGCGGGATGGCGACCTGGTCAAGGGTCAGTACTCCCTGATCGAGCCCGACGGCACTCGGCGCATTGTGGAGTACACGGCCGACGATGTGAGTGGCTTCAATGCCATCGTGTCCAAGCAGCGTCTGGATGAGCAGAGGCTCTCCGCCTCGACCTCCTCTTCCACATCCTCACGTTTCAACAGCCTGGAGGAGCTGCAGACCCGTCTCACTGCCCAGGCCATAGCGGAGGCTCAGTCCTTGGCCGAGGCCCAGCAGGCCAGTCAACTGCAGCTGGAGGCCCAGAGTCGTCGGGAGTCGGAGAACCAGGCGCGCAACCAGGCCCAGCAGCTGATGGAGCAGTTCCAACAGCAGGTGCAGCAGCAGGAGCAGCAGCGGCAACAGCAGGAGCAGCAGCTGAGGGATCTGCAGCGTCTCCAGGAGCAGCGTGATCGGGAGGAGCGTGAAAGGGAGCAGCGTGAAAGAGAGCAACGCGAAAGGGAGCAACGCGAAAGAGAGCAGCGGGAACGGGAGCTGCGAGAAAGGGAGCAGCGGGATCGCGAGGATCGCCGCCAGCAGGCAGAGCGCCGGCAGAGCCAGAACCAGCGATTGATTGACCAGCAGACCCTGCTCCTGGCTCAAAGCCTGCCCAGCATTCAGGCCACCGTGGTCTCCCATCCGCCCACACTGTTGACCTCCCGCCTGCCCAGCGCCACCAGAACCACAACTTTGCTGACCAGGGAACGCGATCTGGAGGCCTGGCGTCAGCTGCCCAATGCACGCCTCACCCTCGATCGCAGTAGCCAGAACCTGATCCTCAGCCAGCCCTCGAGTGCCAGCGTGCAGGCCCAGCTGATCAGTTCACCACTGATTTTGGAGGCAGGAAACCTGAACGGGCTGATCACCACCCGGCTGAATGGCAATGCTGCCCGCGCTGGAGCCGCTCTAAGCTGGTCCAATGGCCGCCGCCTGCTGAACAATGATCTCTGGCAGCTGGACAGGCTGGATGAGCGCGATGATGGCCGCCGCGATGGCGACGATCTCCGCTCCACCAGTACCAGTGCCGAAAGGCGCTCCAAGAACTGGTAGATCCGCGACATGTGACCAAAACAAGCCCAAACTTCAACTGAACTCAAACGAAAGTCAACCAGCGACCTCAGCGATCTGCCAACCGGACCACGAATATGCCTAGACCCTAAGAACTAGATCGAATCTAGTGTTTACCTAGCCTAGAATCGGGATTTTGGTGACATTTCTCTCAGCTTTTTGTTAAACTAACGCATACAGCTTACAGCATACAGCAAACTTTGCCAAGAACTTAACCCAAGCTCTAACGCTTTCTTTTTTCACTGCTTTAGCTAACTTTAGCCATAAGTTTAATTGTCTTCGTGTTACTTTATAGTTAGACAACTGCATCAATGTGAAAACGTAAAAAAAAACTAAACAGAATACAGAATACAGAATGAAGGCTGCAGGACGACGGCTGCATGCTCTTTTGAAAACGAAGTTTCGTAACTTAATTTATGGCATCGCCCAATTAAGTGAGGCAAACTTACCAGCAGATTTGAGAAGTGGCCACAGGTGGTCAGAGATTCTTTTCGTTTTGGCTTCTCCGCTCCTTTTGGCCAACTAGCCAAAGCCAGTTGACCCTAATCGCCTTTCATGGACTCTGACACTTTGGTCATGGATGCTGCACTCCCACACATGAATTTTCCCCCGTTTTCCGTTTTCCGCTTTCCACAACTCAACCTTTATGGACACGTGTGCACGCAACTTGGCCAGAAACCCCCGAGCCAACTTTCTTGGCTACAAATTTTTTAATAATAAACACTCGACCGGGGACGAGGAGAAAGCGTTGGAAAAGTTTCCTTCTCCGTTCCATAAAGTTACTCTATGGTACACTTAAAAATAAAGTTGCTCTTGAGTGTTTAGTTGGGTGGAAGGTGGGTTTGGCCAAGGTTCTTAGGATGCAATAACAACTTGGCCAAAGGTAATGAAAACCGGCCAAAGGCCAAAGAAAATTGCGGTCAAGTAAAACTGTGTTCGATTTAGATATAGAGTATTCCATGAGTCATTTTTATCGACCTTATACAATAAACACATTATGTAAGAAAATTACACAGAGCTAGCAATCTTGTGTTTATATTTTAAATTATAGAGTTGCATATTCACATAACTGAATATGTTACATAAGAATTTAATGTTGAGATACGTTTTCAATATATAAAATTATTTCTATAATCACCTTAATGCTCGATTAAGTTATACTCCGTGTGGCTCTTCATGAGTTGTTATTATCGTCGTCATAGATTTAAAAGCTAGCCGACTTCACTATAGAACTCAAAAATGGTAAGCATTTTAAAAGAAATTTTTTTTGTGGCTTCAGATGTTCCGTCAACATGGGTCAACGCAAATAAAATGTTTTAAATACACAAAATTGTTCAGAAGTTTTTAGGAAATCAAGTTTAACAGAATACTAGCAGATTAGAATTGATATTCGTAAAACATCAAATTTAATAAGCTTTAAAAAATTTAATAGCTCCCTAGCTTAGAGACTCAACATCGTTTAAATTAAATAAAAACGCTAGTTTAAGTGACATCCAAGTCATGGTGAGCTATTTGCAGCTGTTGTGCATGGCAGCCGTGAGTCCTTCCCCAGGAAATCACTTAAAAGTTCATCAAAAGCACACCCCGGCTGGCTCCCTTAAGCCCTTCGGCTCGACAATGGGCTGACATTGGTGGAAGGAAAAGCGAGAAATGGAAAACAAGAGCTGGGAAACTGAAAACAGTTTGCCTCCGCTGCGAATGTCAAGTCCATTGGACACAAGCAAGGAAGTATAGAAAAACCAAATCCGAGGAGCTCAAAAAACGAAACAAGCTAAGCTACATAGTAATCGACTCCATTTGACTTTTAGCCATCACACCGAAAACCTTTCCAACTTTCTCTCCTCTTTGCAATTGGTGGCAAGAAATCTTGAACATGCTGAGGAGCAACGCAAAGAAAATCAAAATCACTAATTGGCCACTGACCCATTGCCGCGGATTCTTAGCACTGGCTACATCCGATATCGCATCCAATAAATCACATACTCAGGAGGAGGACAGAGCGGTCACCATGAAAGTACCCCATTTTATAGGATCGAAGTGTGTTCAAAATCAAAATCAACTTGCGAATGGAAAGGAAAAGAAGTTCACCTACAACTATCACCCATTTTCGATTTACGATTTAAATGAGGCCGCTTTACGTGCCAAGCAGGCAACAACCGACTACTACAAGAATATAGAACAAATTCAAAAATTGAAGATTGAATACGAGAAAAAGTAGTTATTATAAAGAACACACGGTAATATGAAAATTATCAAAATAAAATTCCGAAAAGTAATTGTATCCTAGGGTAATTGCATAGCATATCAGTGTCGACGGCTATCAACGTGGTGACGAAGCGCACCTGGGCAACTAATTCCATTCCTTAGTAAATATCTGAAAATATTTTACAATATTATTCAGCTGTGGCTTAAGGTAAATGATTATTTTTCGTATTTCTTTTTCATCACAAAATTTGATTTGATTGGACATTTTTGTGCGATCTTATAAACGTATTTAGGCATGATTTGGTTTGATAAATTTAAAAACCTAGGTGCTATCTTCAAAAATAGAGTTTAAAAGATTTTAATTAAAATTTAAAAATCAGGCTAAATAAAAAAGAGAACAGTAAAGGTAAAAAGAATGATAAAATATGATATATTCATATAAGTGAATTCACCACAGTCAAGACAAGACCAAAAAATAAACACACCACTTAGGTTGGCGCCATGGCTAAGTCGACATAGACCGGACGGGAACCTAAACAGTTTTAGAGCTACAGAATCTCAAACCGTGTTCTCTTTTGCCGTTGTTTTTGCCTTGAGATTTTAACTTCAACTTGCAATTTGAATTGTTAATAAATTTGTATCAGAAATTCGCATAAAATCAATCAACACGCAACGGTTTTGTACAACGGGGCATAACGGAAACCCGAATCGGGAACGGGGTTGGTGCACAATTTCAGGGACAAATCTGTGGAATACCAAAACAAAATCGAACTCTTCGATTAAGGAAACTTTGAAAATCCACCTCGAGGTCGAAACACATTGACATTGTCGCCAGATGTGTGCTGAGAAGTCTGGGAACTGATAAATGGGAACCGGGTATCTATATATCTGTTTTGCATTGATCTCTATGAACCGATAGCAAGAGTCATTGTCATCACGTGTACGCCGCTTACTAATTAACGCTAGGAAATTCCCCGTGCCCAAACCTCAAAGAGAGGGAGAGCTATCTAGCTATCTGATTATGAGAACTTAGAGTGTTTCTATAACTCATTGGAAATGTTACTTAATTGCCAGGTAATATAATTCAGTTACCCCTTTTAGATGTGGTACCCAATAATTGGGTGTTATACAACATTTGTTATTCATAACAAATATTTATTGATTGCATCATGAGTGAAAACGATATAGAAAAAGCCTAATTTAAATCGATTCAGTGCTAATTAGCACTATGTTAACTTAAATATGAATGAATTTTATTGTAGATGCGATGAGATTGTTTTCATAGATGAATTCAAAATTATCATTACTTTAGTTAAATACTTAAAAACATAATTATTACTTGATATTTCATATTTATAAACAATATCGTTTCACCAGATACAGATATTAAGATGTGTCAGTTATGAAATTAACTTCTTTATTGTATCAGTTATGATAGGACCGAAACGTATTCACATAAGGAAACTTTAATAACTAAATAAATAAATTCATGTTTTTCTACTCCGTAAATTGAGAAACAGCTGCCGATGCAAATCAAGATTATGTATGTAATCTTTATAGCATCTAGCATCTATAGTCGTTGTATACTTCTGGACATAATTATCGTACCCTATGAGAATAAAAAGAAGAAAAACCTCTGAGCCGCCAAAAGCTGTTGGGCACACGATGCGCCTCGTTTTGCAGGCATTTAAGCTGAAAATTGCTGCTAAAATATTTGCACACTCCACAAGCTCTGAGCTGCAGTCGCAGCTTATGTTGTTGTTGTTGGTTGGATGGTGTTGTCGATGGTGTTGTTGTTGCTCGTGTTGTTGTTGGTTTTTTTTTTGCTCTTGGCCAGCTGCATTGATGCGTCGCCAAATGTTTACCCTAAGCCCATAACTGCAGCTCTCTAGCCTTCTCTTTCCCACATAGAAGATTGGAAACACTGGAGAAACTGAAATACATTAAATCATTTTGAAAAATTTTCTATCCATATACCAATTACTGCTCTATACAATTTCAATCGCTTTGATAGTTGTCAGATAACATAAACGTTAAAATAAAACTAGTCATGTATAAATATTAACATGAATGTTTTAAGGGAAAAATCTGTTGTTAATTTACATTTTATGCGTATAAGTTGCTTAAATTATATGGCACTTCAGTTTTTATTTGCTCTATTTTCAAGTGATTTAAATAGCTTGAACACAGTTTTTTTTCCATGTGCAAGCTATTTCGCTCTGTGCTCTCGCTAGCGATCTATGTCTGGCATACAAAATGCATCTAATTTTGGGCCTAACGACAACTTGTCGCTTGTCATGGCCTCCTGGTTGTCGTTGTTATTGTTGCCGCTGCCTCATCATCATTTGCAACTGCTGGCAGCATCGGAAAAAGCAGCAGCAGCTGCCTCACTTGGGGATCAACTTGTGGAGATCGGCGCGCTTTATTTGTGCAGCTTTTAGCTGCGCCTCGTAATCGCAGCTCATAGATCAAAACAGGCGGGCGAAACGCGTGCTAGCTGCCTCTCTTTCTGCCTGCACAGAAAGAAATTCAAATCATTCTCTAAATATTTAAAATCTTCCTTATATTCAACTCCCCAACTGAAAAAAAAGTTTAACTACTAGCTAGAATGGAAGCTTCATTTTTGAAAACGATTTAGAAAATAATCTTGTTTAAAAAAATTACTGTTTTTTAAAGCTATAACTTGAGTACGATTCAAAAATATATTTGTAGTTTTTAAGCTTTGAATATTGAAACCAGAGTATGTCCATGACTTAACTGGTTCTGGGCACAACTTACTTTCTTGCCGTGTGGTAATTTGCATAACATGGCCAGGAACTTCTTTTGTTTATGTGAACCAAGTCCAGTTCTCATCAAGTTGAGATCAAAGAAGCAGGAACGAGGGGGGCATTCCAACGCACAGCTGCTCTCCCCGTCGCCCACCCACGCCAAAAAGTTTTCCCACTGACTGAAATGACAAGAACGGCAATTCCCACAGTCGGCATTTTCCATTTTCCAGCCAGATTCCGATTCCGGCACACTCAAATTAACCATCTCATTTTCGCTCTGATAAAAGGTAATTTTCAAATTTTCCCAACAACCCTGCGACAACAGCAACAACAACATACAATCGGTGATGAGAAGGATCTAGGTACAAACCGACCTAATATAATTTTATGTACACATTATTTTTAAAGATAGTATTTTAAATCATTTAATTTTGATCTTGGATGCACGTTAAATTTAATTTAATAAAAGCAAATTCTTATTGTGTGCTTATTATAATTATAATGTATCTTAAATCTTATTATATTTATGAAGTCTATAATGCACGTTCTTAAAAACTAAAATTTTAAAATAAAACATGTTTGCTTACTCATTAACACAGTTAAATTCAAATTTAGTTTAACAATTTAACACACGTGTTATAATGAAATGTTAAGTTAAACTTAAGTTTAGGACCTCTTAAGAAATATTTTTATTATTTTCTGTAGTAAACTTTCTGCACGGATTATATTATAAAGTACAAAAGCGGTATTTGGTACTTGGTGATTTTTTTGGTAATCTTGTGCCTAGTACCTCGTAAAAACTTATTTTCCCACCACTGTTTAAAAAAAAACAACTGCTACAACAACAGGCGGCAACTTTGGCACTGCAATTTCGATTTCGCCTGTCGTCTATTTAATGATTGCGAATCGGAGCAGGCCCAACAACTTCCCCCCTCCAACGTCTCCTCCCCTTTTCCACCTGGTTTTCTTGACCATTTTCTGCAGCTGTGACTGCTGAGAAAAAAGGGGAAGAAAATTGCCGAAACTAAAACCAGAACGCGTGCGCATTGAATTATGCAGAAATTTAAACCATTTGCCGCCAATCAATTTGTTTTTCTTGCCATCTGGTGAAATTTTCTTCCGTAACTAAATTAATAGAACAATGGAATGCAGATCGTATTAACAATATCATTATTTTTACCACAAAGTCAGTATGGGCAACCTTGTTTAGCTCGTTAGCCACATTTATAGTTATTCGCTATATCCATGAAATAAATGCAGTTATGAACAGCTCGTTAAGTAAGCATATCATATTATATATATTTTTTTAATATTTATTTTCAAAAACTTTCTTTAGTTGTAGTGTCAGGAAGTTAAATACAATTAAAAAGTGAACCAAACAGTGTTTTCAATTTCGATATTGAAAAATCGCTAATTTGGTATTAGCTAATAAAATAATTGTTTCAAAACTTATATTTTATGTTTTTATGCTGTTGAACTGTGCAACCATTTCACAAAACCAATTAAAGCCACATCACAATTCGAAAACAAACTTAAAACGTATCTTTGCACACACATAAAAACATCACTTTCAGTAAAAAATATGTAATTCAATTTTAGTATTAAGTAACCTTTCTTGGGAGTGGCCCATTAATGTAAAAGTCAGCATCTCATACAAAACCGCCTTTGTCATAGATCCAGTAGTCTTTGTTATTTAAACACCTTCTTAATTAAAAAGGAATTTAAAATGAAAACAAATAACGTTTAGCAATAATAATTATATATATCAAATATTCGCAGAATCCTAAATATTGCATGTTAATTGCTTCGACAAATCGCCAAGATCACCAATTCTCAGAATTCCTTTTCAGTTGAAGATCAGAGAAAAGCCGAATCGGCGTAGTAGACTTAATTAAGTACAAATTTCAATTGTAGCTCCGCCTGGGACGGGACTTATCAACGCGAAAGGTGTCTCATAAATATATGTATATAAAGTGCGGCTGACAAACAGGAAGCATCATCATCGTAAGGCCCCTTTTTTTCCCGCTTAAAAGTGCTCGAGCGGAACTTGGCCAGCAGGGAAAAAGAGTTTTGTGCCCGAATTGTTTTGATTCTCTTGCTCGCCGGCACACTGCAGAATTTTTCAACAACAGCAAAACTTGCAAAATTTATGCATGACAAAGTCATTGAAGCGTTTAGCGGTAGAAAGAGAGGGGTGTAATGCGGCAGAAAGAGACGGGTGGCGAACCCTTACTTAAGGGAACTCTCTCACACTTGCTGAATGTGTTGTAATTTGTTGCTGTTGTTAGTGCTTCCTCTTTGGC